GCGGACAGTCCGTTGACCGCTGAGGACAGCGATTTTCGCCCGAGGTGGTTTGTTAAATATAGAAAATGAAACTTTGTTTATGTCTGTATGTGCTGTTTATGTATTATGAGTAGAAACGAAAGGTTACTAAAATGGACTCAAATAAATTGGTTGCATTGTTATTATTGTTGGAAGAGGAAGAAGAAGAAGAGAAACTAGCAATTGCAACAGTCAAAGTTTCAAATAAACGAGTGGATAAGTTGGTTTTTGTATTCGCGATACAGAAAGTGCCTTTAATATCACTGTACAGTAGAGGCTTTTTAAAAATGAAACCAAATTTAGGGAGTATTTTAGACTTTTTACAGGTTTTTTGAATTCGTGTTGAGTTTTGTGAAGGACGACATTTTCTACCACACTGTATAAAGGAGGATGTTGTCGAACCAAATTTATTAAGATTTCATGATCTGTATGTGTTAATTTGTCGCTCATTGTTTTAAAAATAATAACAGTATAATTATTTGTATGCACAAACTGTCTCGGCAAACGCTGACGATTCCGCCGATATCAAACTCAACAGATATGAACGGACTAGTCGTGACAAATCAGCGGCACGACGCCATCCTGCTCAGCTAAGCGGATTCAAGAAAACCGTTCCCATTTAAATACTCTGGGTAGATAAATTCGTCAAAAAGCAACGGTCGACAGACTATCTGCTCACTGCGACGAAGTGTTCAAAGAAACCAAGGCTTAACACATAAACTTAGCTACTTGTAGTCCATGAATAATTTATTCTGCAATTTACATATATTTAACTTTAACTTTCATCTTAAAACTCGAAACCGACATATGATATATATGTAATTTTCATGTAATCAATTAGGTTTTTCATTTGTTGTACCTGACTTTTACAAAGGACTACAGTTAGTTTTACCTAGAAGCTGTACGTGCTTTACTTGTAATCTTCCTTTGAGCTTATCTGTGATTTATAGACAAATGTACCTACAACTTGCATTTAGTGCATTCCTACATGACGAATACCTTTACGTGAACTTTGGAGATACTACCTATCGCTCTAAACTAACCCCTAATATATCATTTACCCTTTCATAAAGTATTAAATATTCTTTATTTATTTTATTTGATTTTACATTATTCTTTTACTTTTGATATAATCAAATGCATACATTAAAATATCTGTTAAAATAAAGTATCTATTAAAGTACCTTTTAAAGTATCTATTAAAGTATCCTTTAAAATACCTATTAATGTATACATAAAAGTATCGAAATAATTATCTATTAAAGTTTAAATTAAATTATCTAATTATGATCCATTAAATTATTTATTAAATTGTCTATTAAATTAATTATCTACTAAATTAATTATCTACTAAATTAATTATCTACTAAATTATCTATTAGATTATCTATTAAATTATATATTCAAGTATCCATTAAAGTATCTATCACAGTATCTATTAAAGTAAAGTATCTATTAAAATATATATTAAAGTATCTATTAAAGTAAAGTATCTATTAAAGTATCTATTAAAGTATCTATTAAAGTATCTATTAAAGTATCTATAAAAGTATCTATTAAAGTATCTGTTAAAGTATCTATTAAAGTATCTGTTAAAGTATCTATTAAAGTATCTATTAAAGTATCTATTAAAGTATATATTAAAGTATCTATTAAAGTATCTATTAAAGTATCTATTAAAGTATCTATTAAAGTATCTATTAAAGTATATATTAAAGTATCTATTAAAGTATATATTTAAGTATCTATTAAAGTATCTATTAAAGTATCTATTAAAGTATCTATTAAAGTATCTATTAAGATGTATATCAAAAAAAGACAGATAAAACAAATATGACAAAAGGAATGACATTTATTTGACAGACCTTAAAACTTAACTATACTTTTATTGCAAATTTAAAGTACTCTTAACGTATGTTTATTTGGTTGAAAATTTAACGAATGCGTTAATTTTATTTTTACAGATTTACAATTTTATGTTAAAATCGTAAAATTTAGCACTTCTTAAAAATAGACGTATTGAATTACAGAATAGCCACTACAGTATACACTATCTATTAAAGTATCTATTAAAATATCTATTAAATTATCTATTAAAGAATCTATTAAAGTATTATTAAATATTCTATTAAAGTATCTATTAATGTATCTATTACAGTGTCGTATTTATTAAAATTTCCATTACAGTATACAAGTGGTAATTCTATAACAAATATGTTAAAATTTAACGGACGCCATATTTAACATATGTCGCAAAAATCTATTCTATAAGCAAAAATATGATAAAAATTTAACATAAATTTAACATAAATCGTGAATATTAAGGGTTTCATCTTAGGAGGATGCACAATGGGCCTAGTGAGGCCTAAGTGCTGTGGGGGTAACCCACCCTCCACACATTACAGATACAGAGACAGATAGTAGGTTTTAAAACTTAATAAATAAGAAATTATGACTTTTGATTGTTTAATTCAACTTATAATGCAAGAAAATCAGAAAAATTAACCATTTTAAAAGTATTCAGGTAATTTGAACAGTTGAAATTACACAAATATTATATTTAATTTATAGCGTATATAAACTTGTAGTTAGTAATTGATTTGTTGTAGAATACTATTATAAGGTTACTTGGATTAGTATTATTTCTAATAAAAGTTAGTGACGTTCCAAATAGTTTATAAAGTACATTCTACAGCTACTTTTTTAATATTCTTGTACAAAAAAAGATAGATAAAACAAATATGACAAAAGGAATTACATTTATTTGACATCTATTAAAGTATCTATTAAAGTATCTATTAAAGTATATATTACAGTATCTATTAAAGTAAATATTAAAGTATCTATTAAAGTATCTACTAAAGTGTATAATAAAGTATCTATTAAAGTTTATATTAAAATATCTATTAAAGTATCTATTAGAGTATCTATTAGAGTATCTATTAAAGAATCTATTAAAGTACATATTATATTATCCATTTTATTATATATTAAAGTATCTTTTTAAGTATTTATTAAAGTAAAGTATCTATTTATTAAAGCATTTATCAAAGTATATATTAAAGTATCTATCAAAGGATCTAATAAAGTATCTATTAAATTATCTATTAAAGTATCTAGTAAAGTATCATTAAAGTATCTATTACAGTATCTTTTACAGAATATATAAAGTATTGTATCAATTAAAGTGTATATCAAAGTATCTATAGTAGTATCATTCAAAGTATCTATTAACGTATCGTTCAAGGTACATATTAAAGTATTTTATTCAAATACATATTAAGGTATTTTTTGTATTATAATCAACGTAAACAATTGCAAGTTTCTGTACTAATATAGGTGATGGAATAATTAAATACCGTCACTAATTGTAATATTTTAAAATATTTGAATTTTATTGATTTAATTTGTTTATGCTTGAACGCCGTTATTTGAGGTCAAACCTAACAAGCAAACCGATTTATGGTTAAGTATTGTAGGTATTATCTTGTCAATAAACCAAAGGTTTTAGAAACAATCAGGCTTGTAGGGCCAATTTTTTATTGGGACTCAATCTAAGTTGATAGTTGATAGAATATAATAGTAAATTCCTTGAGTTATCTTGCCTAGGTACTAGGTACCTATTGGAAAAAAATCTCTTCGTTAATTCACAATTTTAGCTCGTTACATTTTTATTTTCCTTACTTGAGATAAAACCACTTAAACAAACCGATCTTAGATAATATTAGGTACTATAAAAAATAGTTTTTGGTTTTCGAAGTATTTTAAATTATTAGAGTTATAAAATATTCATACAGAGTGGCTAGATGAAAACTTACCTCTGATCCAACATTTTAGACCCGTCAGTTTTTTTTATTGAAGGTGGACATCTTTCTATCATATCCTCAACTGTCATACTTTAACTAATACAATTTAAATAGCGAATATACCAAGTATAACACATTATTAAAAAGACAATTTTATGAAAAATTCAGCAATATTTTAGCGCCCTCTACTGGGCAAAAAACTGTTAGATGATGTAAAGTATACCGCCTCATTTTAAAGCAAATTTTATTAGTAATTTAATGCGTAACATAAATTTTTTATTTTGTTTGATTGAGATTAAAGTTTGTATTTCTTAACGTTAGAGCCATGCAAGATTGTTCAATCACTAAAGTTTATATTTCATTTAATTAAGTTTTGCTATATTAGATATAATATTTGTTCCAGTACCTCATTTTACACATTTTTTACTTCTTGATACCATAAACCATGTGTTTAATACATAATCGTTATTATAATATGGATCTATATATTACTATTCAAATTATTCATTTTGTTAAATTTACATTTTCCTGAAGAGAGACATGTCAGGCCGAAACTATATAGTTGCATCTGTGTTTACAAAGTTTTTAGATTTTGTCATTGAGTAAGTTGAGCATATTTGAGATATTTGGATAATTTATCATTCTATAATATTAGTATTATAAATAAAAACGTTTTCGACAAAATTTTCAGGACTTATGATATTACCATTGAAAAAAAAAAAAACAAAGCATTAGGTTATATTTTATATAGAATGATGATGAAGAAGAGGTCCATCTACCAATAAAAAACTAGCGAGCATATTTATGTTTCATTATTTTGATATAGGTAGGCAATGTTTTTGAAATACTATAAAAAATCTTGAACAAATAATAAATAAAAGTGTCAAACAATTTTAAGATCAAACTCTTTTGAATTTTTTACTTTGTATATCTTCAAAACAGTACTGTATTTTATAACCTGTTCGTTTGTTTTGTATAGCGACATGTTTTCCAATAGTCAATTTAAATTTAATTTTAACAAAATCATATTTAATGTAAACAAACTGCATCCGAATTTAATTGAGCATTTATACCTAATTATTTTACTTTGATTTACATTCTTTGGTATATGTTTAAAAATAATTTACATTTTGTTGGTTTGACATTATTTATACCTAAATATGTTTAAAAACTTACATTTGGATAAGGTTAATCTCCATCCTGATAGCATTTTGAATTAAAACAAAATCACACAACCGTAAAGCCCGTAAACCACTTGATTTTTCTTCAACGACGAAACCGACCGCCACTGATTTTAGTGATCCTTCCCAACGCGTCAAAAAAGGACTAAAAGTCGAGCTGCCGCGCTCTCTTTATATCAACGTTTGACTGTTGTGTTGATTCTTCGGTGAATTTCAATGAGTTTGAGTTGTATTTACTACAGGTGATATGATAACGACATTATTGTTCTAGTACCAGCATTAAAGGCTCGCCTTCTACCCATACCCAGCGTACTTAATGAATACAATGATTAGGTACCGGAAAATATACGAGGTAAACTCGTACCGAATTCCCGCTTGTATTATGTCATCGTTAGCTTAGGCACAATAGGTCGTATCCCCTTAACAGTAAATTTTTCAGGAGGCACAAAATATTTCACAGTTATTAGGTCAATTACAACTAAAATATAATCAGACAATTATTTTTGTGTGATACGTCCTTGCGTATTCTTGTTTGGTGGGTTATGTCCTATTTATATCGTATTTATAGGGGTAGCATAAAAATAGAGGCTCGGATGTGTGGCTTACGACAAATTGCATTTTAACCAGATAAATGTGAAATTAAATGTTTTTTTTTTTATATATAAAAGTATCAAAAATATTTTTTTAAAACACTGAACTTAAGAGCGTACGTACAATTTTTCGGGTATAGTAGTTTCAATGCTATTCTTTTTCCCAAATTATGAAAAAACTAAGATTATTTTAAAAAAAATTAAAAAGTACAATAAAGAACGTGTTGATATCTAGAAAAGTGCTGGCTTGACAACATCGTAATAATTTTTTTATGGAAACAGAGGGCGGTTGAAAACTGTGAAAATAACAACATTCAATTCATAAAAATAATAAGTCAGTTTCTTTTGTTTTCTATATAAATCATCTACTTTCTAAGGTAATAAATCAGAAAGAAAATCACCGAAAACCGATTTCAAAAAGGTCTATTAGTTTTGTTTAGAAAATCGGAAAGGAAACAACGCTTTTTAATCTAGTTAAAATTCTTTACTAATTTCGCTGTCTTTCTTCCACGATGTCTGGTCTCCTTCTTGTTTAAAATCGATAACTATAGACAGATTAAGGTATTTAGTAGCTTACACGTACATGTTACTACATTTAAATTAAAACATTTGTGAAATTTAAGAAAGATTTTGTAGAATATAAATCTTTTTTATAAAAATTAGTAAACTTTGCTGTAAAAATATATACGAGATTCTAAAAGGCAAATCACATTAATGTGATTATAATTTTTTTTTAATATTTTTCTAATATTTTATGGATTGCTCTTTAAATATATATATACAGGGTGAGTCGGGAGGAGCGCACCAAACTCTAGGAGTATATTATACACGTGAAAATAATGTAAAGAAACTCATATTATGTTATCCGATTTTCATTTGTTTTCAAGTTATAGCATATTAACAAATAAACAAATTTACACATAAAAATTCTCTTAATCATAGCGTTCTTTCAATAAATGTTCAAAAATACCGCCATTGACTTCTAAACATTTTCTGCTTCGTCTACGAAGAGCGTTTGTTGCTCTCCTAATTGATTCATTTCTTTCTTCTTTAATATGGGCTGCAGTATTAAACCATAAACAAACACCATATTTGCATATTCTAAATTTGAATAAGTATCTGGCATTTTGCAACACTAACAATCACATAAATTCGAAATTAAACGTTCAGTTACTGTTCACTGTACACTGACAGTTCATCAAAACGTCAGAATTATCAAATGCCTTTGAGCCTTGAACATATGGCATACTTTGATAATATTAACATTCATAAGTGGAAAGCTAGATGAACATTTTTAATTACGTCATAACTTGAAAACAAATGAAAATCGGATAAGAACATATGAGTTTTTTACATTATTTTCACGTGTATAATATACTCCTAGCGTTTGGTGCGCTCCTCCCGACTCACCCTGTATATATATATATATATATATATATATGTATATACAGATTTTCGTTTTGAAGGTTTCTTCTTTGCACGTCTAGTTTCTTTATTGTTTCCTATTTTTGTTTCTTTTCCAAATCATCTGATTCTGTTTTTTGCTTAGCTTTCTCATTTCCTTTATTTTTATATTTTGTAGTAGATTTTAGGTTTGTAGCAGCTACAAACTTGACAATAAATCGGAACGTCGTTGCCATAGTAACGAAATAGTATCACAGTTTGTTCCAAAATAACTTCCAGTCAAGGGACACAAATTCAGGATACGCAGAAGACTGCTGTTTGAATATTAGGCGATTGTCATCAGGCATTCCAAACAAATGAACTGTCAGTGGGAAGATTTGATATATCGAAGGGTTGCGACATACGATGTATTCTGTTTACAATACGTAAAATCATGAATAATGGATTATAGTTAAATATTTTATGTCAAACACAATAAAAATAATAATAAAAATAAGATACATATTTTCATAAATTGGCAGGCTTGGTAATTTTTATTTCGAATAAAAAAAGCTTCAAGATGCAAGACTATATTTCTACCCCCTTAGATATACCAGACCTTCTCACTGACAGCTATTGTTTGACAGGTCGTTGGAATGCCTAATTGGTTATAGTAAGAGAGCCCACTGCAAATTACGACCGCCATCTGATAACGAAATGAAATATGCTCCAAAGACATGTAACAATATTGTACCTTACCAAATTGCACCTGTGCCAATCTGTAATCCTGAGTAAAGTGGTTAAAAAAATTATTTTATATTCAAAAAATCACATATAGTCCAGGATCCATAAGTAAGGTCGACCTTCACCCATCTGTTTAATGGATAAAAGTTTTTATTTATAAGATAAAATATGTTTTTAAATATACCGCAAATGGGTTGCCTAAGAAAATACGGACACGACCATTTTTTGCTTTCATTTCTGTGTACAGATAAGGAAAGTATAGAAATCATGATAAAAGTTGCTTACTTTATCTTTTATTTTAATTTATAGTCACCACTCTATATATTTTATATTGTGTTTTTTATTATTTTATATTGTATAGTTGTATAATTGTATATTTGCACGCCCTATTTATAATTTTTTTTTTCGCACACAAGTTGTAATGCTACAACTTCATGTGAATTAACATTTATTTACTTTAGTGATTATTGTATTATAAAAAAAAAATGTTTTTTTTTTGAGTAAATAAACTATATTATTATTATTATTATGTTTTCCCTGAAAATTACAATCCTAATTCATTGTGAACCTAGCTTTTAATCCTGAATTATTAATATTTTTACCTACCTTCTGCAGAGATAGTCAATAATAATTATAAACTCTTGTTAGACAATTCTTTTAAACCATATAATCATAGTAGTTTTTTTGTCGCTTCTATGGCAACCTGTAAAAATGAATCACGACAATAGGCATAAAATAAAATAAATTTTTAAATCAGCAAAAATTGATTCCCATTTTTAATGATTTTTACCTACTAATTGTGTGTAGATGTTTTTAGTTTTGTCTACGTCCCAACGGCAACTCGGGTACCCGCGGTGTTGCCAAATGCCAATACGTCAATTTGTAAATAATTATGATGGCGTGTCTCTTTATACACATAAATCGGTGAATCATTCTGCTAATTTTGTTGACCCACAGACAGGAGTTTGTACAAATTATGTTGAAGGTTACTGGTCTCGACTTAAGGCCAAGTTCAATTTCGTTTGACACATAATCACGAGTTTTTTTAGGTTAGAAAATTGCATTATCGATTTTTCATCCGAAGTAATACAAGACGTCACTTTAAATTTCTATCTCTATATGTCATTTATAAAACGTATGTTACTAATGAATATGTGGCGGCAACTGACGGCAACACTGTCAGCTACTCCATGGCTACTAGAGTACATACAGGTCCGGTATAAGCCATATATAAATGGAAAATAATAATTTAATATTTTGATTGAGTTAAATAAAATATCAAAATTAAATGTTTATTTTTAAGTAAACGACATTTTTAAATGTATACTTCTTCATTCAAAAATAATATAGGCTAATACTCAAGTGTATACAAGTGTACTGGACAAGAGATAATTTTACCCTTTACTCCAGTTTTTTGTAATGAAATCAGCGGTAAAATAGATATTTGTGTACCAAGGCTGTGTTTTGGCCGAATTAAACATATGCGTTCGAGTCTAAGCTAGTTCTGGTTAAGTATAAGAGTAATAGGCAAGAAACGGGTGTTCAATCAAACTTGACATCGAGATAGATGTCACATAAGCAGGTGTACTGAAGATGAAGTTTGCAGAACCAAGCATCAGATAGGTATAACACTTGCTATTCTGAAAAGTATGCATACTACACTGAATAAGAACGAATGGAAGTGTCAGAAGGAGGCTAAAGGCAAAAAATAGACGAAACAGAGCTGCATAGATAGATAAGTAATATTTTAGCCAGGAGAGAGTCGATGAGTGTTATAAATATAGTTAATTTATGAATGTATTTTTAATGTATAATTTTAGTTTATTTTAATTTTTGGTATAAAACTATGGCTGACATAATAAAACTCTTAAAAGTTCATATATTTTCAATCTTTATTACTATACATTATTTAGTTTTCATTTATTCTCTGACCTAGGGAAAAGGTTAGAAAACCCTGGTCATAATTGTTTACAATATTGGTGTTCCTAATGATACAAAACATTACAGAGGAATGATACTTAGCCGATGAAATCTCATCCAGTTCACGCATGACATATTGTGGTATGGAATATGGCTATCTCTGATGCATATGCAGATTTAAATTTATTTTTGCGTACTGTTTTCTATCAACTGATACCCCAAATTTATACAAGCCACGTCTTCGCACCACAATGTGACATAGCATCAAATCTGCTTAATCTCGTACCATTTTTTTTAAGTATCAAGGATATTCCTAGTGTAGCTGATCATCATGTTTCGAGTCATCGAACCTAAAAATTAACAAATATCAATAAATAGAATTCGGAATTTATTCCAAAAATATTTTTCTTTGGGAATTATATAGGATTTCTCGTTAATATACTGACATACTTTTAAAGGTGGTAGGTGCATCAAAATAAACATTTTTTGCTTAATAAAATAAAAATAATTTTATTTCCCAACAAATTAATCCATTTACAGAACAAAATACATGAAATAAATGTTAAACATAATATTTCGACAGAAAATAATTTTAGCAACAGCAAGAAAAAAAAAGAAATGAAAGAATCCTAAA